GTAGCTTTTCTGAGAGCATCCGAGCAAAGGAATGAATGGAAAATCATGATCGCCGATGTCTGTCGCAGATCTGGCACTGGATGATGATGATGATGTTTATTTGTTGGTGGCAGCACGGTGTCTTTGTTGTTGTTGTTGTTGCTGTTGTTGTTGTTGTTATTGTTGTTGTTGTTGTTGTTGTTGTTGTCGTCGTCGTCGGTTTTTTCCTCAATCAAATGCCATGTATATCTCTCGCTGTGTGGCACTAAACGTGTCGACGGGGACAGCCAAGAAGTAAAAAAAAATGTAAGGTATTATACGATGACAGTGCATGTCTTTTACTCTGTTCGATATTATGTGCCAATAACATTGATTATATTATGGAGATTGGGACACTACGAATAACAGATTGAAAGAGTTGCACCGATGTGGGTTTTATTTTGTTGTTGAATTGTTGTGCTAGTTTTTTTGTTTTTTTTTCATTTTTCATTTTGCGTGTGTGTGTGTGTATTTGGGGTGTGGGGGGGGGGGGGGGTGTGTGTGTGTGTGTGTGTGTGTGTGTGTGTGTGTGTGTGTGTGTGTGTGTGGGGGGGGGGGTGTTTTACATATCTTTATTTTTGGTTTCTGTTTTCTTCTGTTGTTTTTATTTTTTAACTTTTTAAAAGGGCGTGGGGATACTCGCACGGAAGGCAAATTTCAATTTAATTTATGCCGATTCTATTCAGTATATGTATATGCGTATGCATTTGTTTTTTTCTGGTTTTCTGAAGGATTTCGATCATACAGACCCCTCTGGTCGGGGTAGTGTTGTAAACCCTAGATAATTGAAGGGAAAGTGCCGAAGGTTGGCATTTTGTTCTATTGGGGCGTGGGTTATGCCTGTATGAGGGCTCCTCGTCTTAGGCGGTCCGGTATCACACGCTGGAATAGAACCAGCTCGGGAATGTGTCATTTCATTGTCCAGAACGTAAGCTTACGTGCTTTTGCCTCAACAACTAAGCGTCTGTCTGTGCAGACCCCGATGTAATGTAAGCCATACTATTACGTCAGTACCACCTTAAAAGAAGTGTCGGTAAATAAAGGAATCTCGTATTCCACATATAGCATATAATAATAATAATAATAA